TATACAACCCTTGTTTGCACAGATGGGCTGCAAATACTGATAGGCACTTTGTAAACACCCTCAGTGCTGATGAAATTCCAAAAGGCACCATTGTGAATTGGTACTGACTCCCCAGAGCCATAAAACATAGATATTTTGTGTGTGTAAGCATCCTGTAAATTGAGCATAATGGACTAATACATGGGATCCAGTGTAGGGATGACTGAAGCGAGAGTTACCATGTGGAACTTGGCATATCAGATGAATTTGTTGAGGTTCCTGAGATCTAGAATCTGACATAAGCCACCTTTCTTTTTTGGTATGAGGAAATAGGGAGAATAGAAACCTTCTCCAATATACTCCTGAGGTACTCACTCTATTCCTCTGAATTTGACCAGTTTGTCTATCTCCTGATGCTTGGAACTCACATGAGAGTAGTCCCTGAAAAGGAACCAGGAAAGGGAGTGGCAAGGAGGCAAAGATTGAAATTGAACAGCAGAATCATCCCTGGTTACTTGAAGGACCCATTGATCTGTGGTGATTGCCATCCAAGTCTCCAGGAAATAAGATAGATGGGAACCAAAGGGTGAAGTAAAGGGTATACAACACTTTTATAAATTAGTCCAAGATCCTCAATCATCACATCAAATTTGATGTTTTTGTGTCTGATCCGACTGATTACTTACAGAAGAGGGTAGTGGAACTGACTTCTTCCAACATCTAGCCTTCCTTCTACAGATTGTTTAGAAGGTCCCTGCTGTTGGGAATATGAATAAGAAGGATATTGAGTGTTCCTATATCTGAGGAGTGAAGATTGATGACAAAACTGTTTATTTTTGAAAGGAGTGTATAAATTCAATGATCTGAGTGTGGATCTCAAGTCTTCTAATGAACACAGAGATTCATCAGCCTTGGCACCGAATAGATTCCCACCATTGAAGGACAAATATTTAATAATCGTTTGCACTTCTTTTGGTAAAACTGACAGATAGCCACGATGAGTCTTGCATCACAATACATGTAGTCAGTAATGCCTGATCTACACTGCAGAGTTAGGCCGACAAAAGGCAGCCTACATAGACCCAATTCTAAGTATCTACATTAAAATGCAGCTCACATAGATGTAACTTGCCCACTGTACTGAGTTAATAACTCCAACTCAGCAAGAGGCGTAGTGCTTAAGCCGATGTAGTTAGGTCGATGCTTCAATAATTTCTGAAAGGTGTTAAAATCATCAGCTGAAGTCTGTGAAATTGTTTTTATATGGTAAGGAAGAAGAATGAAGTACAGGATCAGAAGGATTGTCTTGATGGGCTGGTATTTCACCATCACTTGAAATCTGCTGTTCCTCTGCATCTTGAACTTGACGAGTTATTAGTATTACAACAGTTTATAGCAGGTCACTCACAAATAGATCCTGTATATTGTGGGAGAATTTGTCCTTGAAATTGTGATTACTGAGGACATGAGGGCCAATATGGCCACAGTTGTGGACCATAGGAGAAAGGGATGTTTGCCCAGTTTGAAGAGAACGAAGCAGCAGAGTTAGAATTAGCATTCTCAGGACTATTAGGAGGCTCTTTTCCATATGCCTCCCTAGACTTATTTTCTTTCAACCCGTGTGATTTCCCTCTTTGTGGAGGGCTCCTGTCAGAGTCTGCAGAGGAATCAGAGACTTTGGAGGAAGAAACCTCTAATGCAGAAGCCATGGCAAGAGACTGAATAATCTAAATGGTACTCAAATCCTTAATTGCATTGACATGCTGGTTCAAAGACATTTTCATTAGAGGTACCCTCACTTCTTTTTGAGGAGACGATCTGTCTGGCACCGAGATCGGGGAAACCTCCAGGACTGGTGACTGAGGTTCTGGAGTGACCCTGAAGTTTGGTGAAGATACAAAAGAAGCTTTTGGAGCTGAAAATGTAGTTGTAAAAGCTCTCTGTAGTGAGGATGCTGTAGGTGCCGCTCTCTACTTTGAAGCTTTCTCTGCACCTGAACCTGCTGGTGCTGAGCAGGCTTTGATCAAAGCTGCCAGTGCCTACAGGGGAAGCTCTGCAGAAGACTGTCCTGAGCACTCTGGTTCTGAGAGAGGCAGTGCTGCTGTAGATGGTGCTGAAGAGAAGGAAGGCAGATGATCCTTTTTTTCCCTGAGATCTTTCAGCTGAAGAAGGGGGTAGTTTCTGTATCAGCTCCTAGTTCCTCTTTTTCCCCACACCAGGAAGAGCTCATCTGCACTAGCTGTTCTGCAATCCCCAGCACGAGAGGCTCCTTTGAAGTCTTCCTCCTTTGAAGACTCTTGGAAGCAGAGACAGAGCTCAGTGCTGTGAAATTGAGAGTCAGACACTCAGTCCTTGGACAGCAGCGGTCCCTGACTCTCTGGAGAACCTTTCTGAGTCTCTTTTGTCTACTTAATTGCTCCAGAATTAGGTGTCACATTTCTGGTGACAGGAGCACTGGAGAGAGACGACGTGAAAACAGAAGTCTCTGAGTCTGAAGTAGCTCTCTTGGAGCTTTCCATCAGAAAAAGCTTCATTCTGGACTCTCTCTCCTTTTGTGTGCACTTCTTGAAGGACTTGCAAATCTCACACTTGGGGTATGTCTACACTACGAAATTAGGTTGAATTATAGAAGTCGGTTTTTTAGAAATCGTTTTTATATATTCGAGTGTGTGTGTCCCCACAGAAAATGCTCTAAGTGCATTAACTCGGCGGAGTGCTTCCACAGTACTGAGGCAAGCGTCGACTTCCAGTGTGTTGTACTGTGGGTAGCTATCCCACGGTTCCCGCAGTCTCCGCTGCCCATTGGAATTCTGGGTTGAGATCCCAATGCCTGATGGGGCTAAAACATTGTCGTGGGTGGTTCTGGGTACATATCGCCAGGCCCCCGTTCCCGCCCTCCCTCCATGAAAGCAGCAGCAGACAATCGTTTTGCGCCTTTTTTCTTGAGTTACCTGTGCAGATGCCATACCACGGCAAGCATGGAGCCTGCTCAGGTAACCGTCACCGTATGTCTCCTGGGTGCTGGCAGACGTGGTACTGCATTGCTACACAGCAGCAGCAGCTCCTTGCCTTGTGGCAGCAGACGGTACAATAGGACTGGTAGCCATCATCGTCATGTCCGAGGTGCTCCTGGCCACGTCGGCCAGGAGCGCCTGGGCAGACATGGGTGCAGGGACTACATTAGAAGTGACTTGACCAGGTCATTCTCTTTAGTCCTGCAGTCAGTCTTATTGAACCATCTTATGGTGAGAAGGCAGGCGATACAGATTGCTAGCAGTCCTATTGTACCATCTTCTGTCAGGCAGGCAAGAGATGAGGATGGCTAGCAGGCCTATTGTACCATCTTCTGCTGAGCAGCCAAGAGATGTGGATGGCTTACAGTCCTTCTGCACCGTCTGCTGCCAGCCAAAGATGTAAAAGATAGATGGAGTGGATCAAATCAAGAAATAGACCAGATTTGTTTTGTACTCATTTGTTTCCCCCCCTCCCCTGTCTAGGGGACTCATTCCTCTAGGTCACACTGCAGTCACTCACAGAGAAGGTGCAGCGAGGTAAATCTAGCCATGTATCAATCAGAGGCCAGACCAACCTGCTTGTTCCAATAAGAACAATTACTTAGGTGCACCATTTCTTATTGGAACCCCCCGTGAAGTCCTGCCTGAAATACTCCTCGATGTAAAGCCACCCCCTTTGTTGATTTTAATTCCCTGCAAGCCAATCCGGTAAGCCATGTCGTCAGTCGCCCCTCCCTCCGTCAGAGCAACGGCAGACAATCGTTCCGCGCCTTTTTTCTGTGCGGACGCCATACCAAGGCAAGCATGGAGGCCGCTCAGCTCACTTTGGCAATTAGGAGCACATTAAACACCACACGCATTATCCAGCAGTATATGCAGCACCAGACCTGGCAGAGCGATACCGGGTGAGGAGGCGACGTCAGCACGGTCATGTGAGTGATCGGGACATGGACACAGATTTCTCTGAAAGCATGGGCCCTGCCAATGCATGCATCATGGTGCTAATGGGGCAGGTTCATGCTGTGGAACGCCGATTCTGGGCTCGGGAAACAAGCACAGACTGGTGGGACCGCATAGTGTTGCGGGTCTGGGACGATTCCCAGTGGCTGCGAAACTTTCGCATGCGTAAGGGCACTTTCATGGAACTTTGTGACTTGTTTTCCCCTGCCCTGAAGCGCATGCATACCAAGATGAGAGCAGCCCTCACAGTTGAGAAGCGAGTGGCGATAGCCATCTGGAAGCTTGCAACGCCAGACAGCTACCGGTCAGTTGGGAATCAATTTGGAGTGGGCAAATCTACTGTGGGGGCTGCTGTGATGCAAGTAGCCCACGCAATCAAAGATCTGCTGATATCTAGGGTAGTGACCCTGGGAAATGTGCAGGTCATAGTGGATGGCTTTGCTGCAATGGGATTTCCTAACTGTGGTGGGGCCATAGACGGAACCATATCCCTATCTTGGCACCAGAGCACCAAGCTGGCAAGTACATAAACCGCAAGGGGTACTTTTCAATAGTGCTGCAAGCTCTGGTGGATCACAAGGGACGTTTCACCAACATCAACGTGGGATGGCCGGGAAAGGTACATGACGCTCGCATCTTCAGGAACTCTGGTCTGTTTCAAAAGCTGCAGGAAGGGACTTTATTCCCAGACCAGAAAATAACTGTTGGGGATGTTGAAATGCCTATAGTTATTCTTGTTGAAATGCCTATAGTTATCCTACCCCTTAATGCCATGGCTCATGAAGCTGTACACAGGCAGCCTGGACAGTAGTCAGGAGCTGTTCAACTACAGGCTGAGCAAGTGCAGAATGGTGGTAGAATGTGCATTTGGACGTTTAAAGGCACGCTGGCGCAGTTTACTGACTCGCTTAGACCTCAGCGAAACCAATATTCCCACTGTTATTACTGCTTGCTGTGCAATCCACAATATCTGTGAGAGTAAGGGGGAGACGTTTATGGCGGGGTGGGAGGTTGAGACAAATCACCTGGCTTCTGGTTACGCACAGCCACACACCAGGGCGGTTAGAAGAGCACAGGAGGGCGCGGTACACATCAGAGAAGCTTTGAAAACCAGTTTCATGACTGGACAGGCTACGGTGTGAAAGTTCTGTTTGTTTCTCCTTGATGAAACCCCCCGCCCCTTGGTTCACTCTACTTCCCTGTAAGCTAACCACCCTCCTCTCCTCCCTTCGATCACCCCTTGCAGAGGCAATAAAGTCATTGTTGCTTCACATTCATGCATTCTTTATTCATTCATCACACAAATAGGGGGATGACTACCAAGGTAGCCCAGGAGGGGTGGTGGAGGAGGGAAGGAAAATGCCACACAGCACTTTAAAAGTTTACAACTTTAAAATTTATTGAATGCCAGCCTTCTGTTTTTTGGGCAATCCTCTGTGGTGGAGTAGCTGGTTGGCCGGAGGCCCCCCCACCGCGTTCTTGGGCGTCTGGGTGAGGAGGCTATGGAACTTGGGGAGGAGGGTGGTTGGTTACACAGGGGATGTAGCGGCAGTCTGTCCTCCAGCTGCCTTGGCTGCAGCTCAACCATATGCTGGAGCATATTGGTTTGATCCTCCAGCAGCCTCAGCATTGAATCCTCTCATCACGCTGCCGCCACATTTGAGCTTCAGCCCTGTCTTCAGCCCGCCACTTACTCTCTGCAGCCCACCACCTCTCCTCCCAGTCATTTTGTGCTTTCCTGCACTCTGACATTATTTGCCTCCATGCATTTGTCTGTGCTCTGTCAGTGTGGGAGGACAGCATGAGCTCAGAGAACATTTCATCACGAGTGCGTTTTTTTTTCTTTCTAATCTTCACTAGCCTCTGGGAAGGAGAAGATCCTGTGATCATTGAAACATATGCAGCTGGTGGAGAAAAAAAAAGGGACAGCGGTATTTAAAAAGACATTTTATAAAACAATGGCTACGCTCTTTCAGGGTAAACCTTGCTGTTAACATTACATACATAGCACATGTGCTTTCGTTACAAGGTCACATTTTGCCTCCCCCCACCGCATGGCTACCCCCTCAACCCTCCCCCCTCCCCGTGGCTAACAGCGGGGAACATTTCTGTTCAGCCATAGGCAAATAGCCCAGCAGGAACGGGCACCTCTGAGTGTCCCCTGAAGAAAAGCACCCTATTTCAACCAGGTGACCATGAATGATATCTCACTCTTCTGAGGATAACACAGAGAGATAAAGAACGGATGTTGTTTGAACGCCGGCAAACATACACTGCAATGCTTTGTTGTACAATGATTCCCGAGTACGTGCTACTGGCCTGGAGTGGTAAAGTGTCCTACCATGGAGGACGCAATAAGGCTGCCCTCCCCAGAAACCTTTTGCAAAGGCTTTGGGAGTACATCCAGGAGAGCCGCGAATGCCAGGGCAAAGTAATCCTTTCACATGCTTGCTTTTAAACCATGAATAGTATTTTAAAAGGTACACTCACCGGAGGTCCCTTCTCTGCCTGCCGGGTCCAGGAGGCAGCCTTGGGTGGGTTCGGGGGGTACTGGCTCCAGGTCCAGGGTGAGAAACAGTTCCTGGCTGTCGGGAAAACCGGTTTCTCCACTTGCTTGCTGTGAGCTATCTACAACCTCATCATCATCATCATCCCCAAAACCTGCTTCTGTGTTGCCTCCATCTCCATTGAAGGAGTCAAACAACACGGCTGGGGTAGTGGTGGCTGAACCCCCTAAAATGGCATGCAGCTCATCACAGAAGCGGCACGTTTGGGGCTCTGCCCTGGAGTGGCCGTTCGCCTCTCTGATTTTCTGGTAGGCTTGCCTCAGCTCCTTAAGTTTCATGCAGCACTGGTTCGGGTCCCTGTTATGGCCTCTGTCCTTCATGCCCTGGGAGATTTTGACAAAGGTTTTGGCATTTCGAAAACTGGAACGGAGTTCTGATAGCACGGATTCCTCTCCCCATACAGCCATCAGATCCCGTACCTCCTGTTCAGTCCATGCTGGAGCTCTTTTGCGATTCTGGGACTCCATCATGGTCACCTCTGCTGATGAACTCTGCATGGTCACCTGCAACTTGCCATGCTGGCCAAACAGGAAATGAGATTCAAATGTTTGTGGTTCTTTTCCTGTCTACCTGGCCAGTGCATCTGAGTTGAGAGTGCTGTCCAGAGCCGTCACAATGGAGCACTCTGGGATAGCTCCCGGAGGCCAATACCGCCAAATTGTGTCCACAGTACCCCAAATTCGATCCGACAAGGCCAATTTAAGCACTTGTCCACTTGTCAGAGGTGGAGTAACGAAATCGATTTAAAGAGCCCTTTAAGTCGAAATAAAGGGCTTCATCGTGTGGACGGGTGCAGATTTACATCGATTTAACGCTGCTAAATTCGACCTAAAGTCCTAGTGTAGAACAGGGCTTAATGATATGTTCCTCACCCAGACAGTACAGACAGCTGTCATGGGAAACAGTTATAAGAATGACCTTTATGAGGACACAAGCGCATGCAGGATCCATGCACGACTGCTACAGGACACTACTAGTGAAAATGCTTCGAACTCCTGTGCTGGGGCACATGGACACTGTAAGTGGAATCCATGTGCAGGAAATTGGAGAAGGAGGTTAGAAACTTCTAATTACCAGCCTGAATTTCTTCATGGCCAACTTATATCCATTTGGTTTTGTACCAACACTGTCCTTTAGCTTAAATACCTCTTCATCCTCCCTGGTATTACCCTGAATGTATTTATAGAGAGCCATCATATACCCTTTCAGACTTCTTTTTGGTAGATTAAAAAAGCCAAGCTCTTTCCAGTTACTCTTTCTTTAACATTAGTGACCAGAAATGTACACAGTATTCCAAAGAGGTCTTACCAGTGCCTTGTATAATAGCGTTAATACTTCCCTATCGCTACTGGAAATACCTTGTCTGACACATTTTAGGATAGCATTTGCCTTTTTCAGTTGCGTCACACTGATGGCTCATAGTCATCCTGCGATCAACGCACACAACCAGGTGTCTTTCCTCTTCTGTTGCTTTCAACTGATGAGCCTCCTGCTTGTAGCAGAAATTCTTATTATTAGACCCTAAGTGACCTTGCACTTTGTACTACTGAATTTCATCCCATTTCTTTCACTACAGTCTTCAAGGTCGTCCAGATCTGCCTGTATAATATTGTGATTTCCTTCTGTATTGATGCTGCCAACTTTGTTTCATCAGCATGCTCCTGCTTTTTGTGCCAATGTCATTGACAAAAATATCAAATAATACTGATCTCACCTTTAGCCAGTTCCTATCTTACAATTCTTGTACTGATCCCCATCTTCCCTAATTTAATTAATAATTTCCCATGTGCACCTTATCAAATATTTTACTGAAGTTCAAGTATATAAAATTTATTGCACTTCCCTTATCTAAAAACACAAATAGATATTTTGATTTTAGTTTCCCTGAACTAGTCACCTGACAATCAGTTAATAATTCCCCAGTTATCAATTTTAATAATCTGGTCGTGTTCTTTTAGTAATTTTTAGATAAAATTACTTTGCACTCAGATACCCATTTCCACCACACAGTACTACAGTTAGGTATTTAAATCAGCTGGATTATGCTCGCTGCAGTCACAGATGTACACTTTGCTGACAGCAGAGGCTGTGTAACCCGCCTTGGCCTGCTTACTTCTTTCCTCTAATCATCTCTCTGCCCCCCAACCTTTCTGTGTGTGTGTGCACGCGTGCGTCCCTGTACTGTTTTATAGCAGACATGCATGTAGTCTGATGTCACGGTGTTGGTAGTGGAAAACATTACCAATTGTTCTCTTTCTTTGTGGATTTTAATTTCATTTTCTCAGTGTCATACATACAACAAATAAACCTTATACATGAAAATTAAAAAGCGAAAAATCACATAATTGAAGCAATGCCAACATCCTCACACATGACACCTACATCTGCGTTACAGACCAGCACACTGTGGTTGCATCTAGTGGTTGGAGCAGGAGTAGATAGTCAGGAATTGGAGCTCAGGGTCAGAACCAGAGTCAAAAGTCAAATGCCAGAGTTAAAGAAAAAGACAGGAATTGGAGCCGAGCGTCAAAAGCCTGTTACCTGAAGCAAGGCAAGACTGGGGAAAGACCGGAGCAGGGCTGGAAGAAGGTGGGAGCAAGACTGGGAACAAGTAGGTGTAGGAGCTACCACAGCTGTGGGTGAATGCTTTGAGCAGCTGCTGAACTTAAGAGCCTGTCTGCTGGCTCTTTCCACTGCTCAGGCAGTGAAGCCAATCAGACAGCCTACTACATGCTGGCTGCGCTTGTTAGGTTGCCCAGAGACTGGCTCTGCTGTAGGTCCTGATTTCTGACAATCCGCAACATCACACCCCACAGGAACAAGGCACCAGTCCCTTACACACAAAGCACTTAACACACCACTCAGTGTGCTATTTAAATTTCCCAAATGGACAAATCTGCATGTTGGAGTGCAGTAATTTGCACACCGTGTTTATTTTCCATTATCCATTACCAATTTCCACTGTTATATATTAATTTACTTTCAGTCAAGCTCTTGTCATAAAGAGCAACAGAAAGTTGTGATAAAAGTAACAATGAATTGAGCAATGTCAGGATACTTTTGCACATTTTACCCCTTTCATTTAATCCAACTTTAATTAGACAAACAATTAAGTTTCTACCCACCAAGTGTTATTACACCCACATATGAGAATGCAATCTCACCCAAAGAGTGTTGCTTCAATGGGTGCGTAAAACTAGCTGTTCTGGAGAGAACATTAGAGGAAGTGAAACCATGGAGCCCACGAGCAAATTCCTCAAGACTCTGCATTCAGGATGGTTCCAAATGCAACAAGAACCCTACCATCAGCACCATTAGAGGGAGCATACTGGGAGTTTTGGCTAACAAATTTGATGGGTGCTGTAATACAGGGATGGAACCAACAAGCCAGGATCCAGAGATGATGCATCCTTCCCAGACCGTTGTCCTGCCCAAATCCCAACTATATCAAGGTCTGACTGGATCCAAAGGCATGATTCTCTATTGGAGCCCTTTCTGTCTGTGCCAAACAACGATGGAAAGCCAATGAACTCAAGGGACATTCCTTCCCTGTCTCCATCCCAGAAGATCAGACCCTGAGGTCTTGGAATCTGTTTGGACTCATGATTTCTAAGGAGGAAGCAATTTCAGGACTGTTGGCTGAATAAAGAATCTGTTAATTAAAAGTAATCATGTTATACCAGATAAAATCACTCTCTCAAAATTTATTGCTATATAATACTTAAGCAAATTAAAATTAAAAGAAATGTTCATAGTGCTAAGTTCAAGTTCTCCACTTTAACTAAAGAATATATGTATTCAGAACACTTCTGCATGTCTTAAAAGTGGCTTCATTTTGTAACCAATTCTTCATCATATTCACAGTGGAATGTTCGCATGCTTCTTCCAGGGATTGGATTGCGTTTTGCTAGCCAGCACTTCCAGATCACGGCAAATGCGGATTCGAGTGGTAGAAGGTTCAATGATATCATCAACAAACCCTGTTTAATTTACCAAAAACAAATTACACACAAACACTTTTGCCTCCCAACCACAATATATCTCGTTGTAATTACTTTGCAACATCAAAACTATGCAGTAACTAAACAATTCATGTATTAGAGAACTGCATGCAACTGCTAATTTGTAACTTAACTCACAAGAGAAGCATTTGAATTAAACTGAAGTTAAAGTTGACAATGTGTTTCAATAACTTAAAAAGCCTTGCATAAACTTTATCATCAAATAAGTAAACAACAGAAAGCCAAGAAATTTAGACTTACAGTGGGGCTCAATTCAAGAATAACTGTAAATTTCATTGGGAAGTTCTATATGTATAGTCTCTTGCAGTTCAAATCAAGTCAGTTCAGTTTACAAATGACAAGATGTATTCTCTGTCAATTCTGCGAATTCAACCTGGCATCTGATAGTGAAATTCTGTTTTTTTTTCTGGCTCAAGCCCCAACAATAAACACTGCAGTGAAAACATTTAACACTTCTGTTGATAATCCACTAGCCAGAAAACAATCCATCTTGTTGTGCATGCTACCACACTGTGCTACTGACGGGACTAAAAAGTGGTACAAATGAATATACTGATCAGTAGAGTAAACAGATGTAACTAAAACATACGGGGAACTGATCATCCGATTGAGAAAGACACATTTCTACACACACATTTTTCAGAGTAAAAATGCACTTTAAGGTTCAACTTATAAGAAATAAACTTTTAAATATATGGAAATACAGAATTAAATCCACTAACAACAAAAACCAAGTGCCTACCACCTGGGGGCAGTAGTGTATGTTGGGGAACTGAAGCTGAGCCAGAAGTCTGGTCCCTTCTAAAGTTGACCAGCACACCTCATTAAACTCCACCCAAACTGTCAGAGTGCTCTGAAGTACTATGGAAGTTGTCCAAGTTTTGAAATGCCTCTCAATTTAGAACATTTTTAATATGCTTATCAGCACCTTAGACATGGCCCTGTGCCCTACATCTCACCAGTGCCTCAAAGAAATTGTATTAGAAGCCCTTCAGATGTGTTGTTTTGTAGCTGGAATTTGGAAAATAAAATAATAATAATAAAAAAATAAGAGTGTTTGAATAATTTCCAAATTATGATTAGTACCACTTTCATTCCTAAATCCCTTGTCTTTAAAATGCCCTGCGTGATTAACCTAATATTTGATCAAAGTATTAGCCAGTGACCACAGACCACACAAGTGAAATTTGACTTTCAAAGGACTTTAAGCAAGGAATTTAAGAAAGGAACTCGAAGATCAAAGTCCCAGGTACCTCTGACAGCCGCAGGGAAGGGATTTGCAAACTTATTCACATATTCTGCTTCTGCATCTGTCTCTTTTCCTCTGAAAATGATCCGGACCGCACCCTAGAAAGACATACAAACATGCCCTGAAACTGGACTGAAATAATTAATCCATTGTGAAAAAAAGCTCTTTTATTTAAGGCACAGAATTTAAAGCACGACAGTAAAAGCTGTGCTATAAACTTGTAAAATACTTCAGAGAAAATCAGTTGTATTAATCTCAGCAAGCCTCCTCAATGATTTTCAGAGATGGCTATGGCTGCTGGAAGTCAGAAGTGAAACACAGCCTGCATTTACCTTTGCACCCATTACTGCAACCTCTGCTGTAGGCCATGCGTAATTAACATCTCCTCGTAAATGCTTCGAACTCATCACATCATATGCACCCCCATAAGCCTGGAAGAGACAGGAAGTCATTGATATCAGACAAGTGCACAACAGCAACAAACGAAATCCCTTCTGCAATTATTGCCCATTCCAGAGACAAGGACGCACTGAAGAGAGCCCAAGTTGGTCCATTTCGAGAGCAACTGCTCAGCATTGGCATAACTTTGCTCCAAAATTCACAGAAAGTCTGTGTCAAGGTTGACCTTTATTTAACAAAAGCACTAAAGTGAGACAACAGAGGTGTCTAAACCTAATGACATGAAAGTAGTGCTTTTCATATCTGCTTTTATAAAACGTGTCCATCACAAGGGCCTCCTCCTTCCTTATCATGAAAGGGTTAATGTATTGAAAGTACAGTAGTGCCATAATACACGCCTGCTGGTCTCGACTCAGAAAGACCTTTTGAAAATGACAAACAAGTTGCCGTTGCAGGTTGGGAACGGTACTTATGAGCAAAACTGTACCAGATTGAAAAAGGAAAACTGAACCTGTTTAGAAATTCAGTTGATACTAACCTCAACTTTATGGTTCTACCAAATAGCCAATTAGTGCAGAATCAAGACCTCCAATTTTAGCATCTTTATTATTATATTGCTGGTGTCAGCAGTGTAATCAATGCTGAATATAAAAAAGATAAATCAAAAGCTATCTTAAGAGTTCAGAAATTTACATGAAAATAATATGTTGCCAAGCCACGAAACAGTGAATTTGCAGCAACTAATGAGAACATAAGAATGGCCTCAGTGGATCAGAGCAATGGTCCATATTGCCTAGTATCCTGTCTTCCGACAGTGGCCAATGCCAGGTGCTTCAGAGAGAATGAACAGAACAGGCAATCATCGAGTGGATCCATCCACTCCCAGCTTCCGGCAAACAGAAACTAGGGACACGCAGAGCATGAGGATGCATCCTTGATCATCTTGGCTAATAGCCTTTGATGGACCTATCCTCCATGAACTTATCTCAGTCTTTTTTGAACCCAGTTATACTTCTGGCCTTCACAACATCCCCTAGCAATGTTTCATAGGTTGATTGTGCACTATGTGAAGAAGTACTTCCTTTTGTTTGTTTTAAACCTGCTGCCTATTAATTTCATAGGGTGACCCCTGCTTCTTGTGTTATGTGAAGAGGTAAACAACACTTCTGTATTCACTTTCTCCACACCATTCATGATTCTATAGACATTTATCATATCACCCCTTAGTCATTTCAGCTTGGAAAAGGAGAAGTCCCAGTCTTTTTAATCTCCCCTCATATGGAAGCTGTTCCATACCCTTAATCATTTTTGTTGCCCTGGGTGCCTTTTCCATTTCTAATATATCTTTGATAAGATGGGCAACCAGAACTGCATGCAGTATTCAAGGTGTGGGTGTGCCATGGATTTATATAGTGGCATTATGATCTTTTCTGTCTCATTATCTATCCCTTTCCTAG